CACCAAAATAAATGTAGCTACCAGAATGGCAAAAGCACCATCTAGGAGGTATATTTCTTCCTAATTGGTCTGCTTCCTTCCAGTCTCTCTCTTCTCCATTTTATCCTCCACCTGGGTACCAAAATAATCTCCTTAACCCCCCAGTCTGACCATGTGGTGGCAATATGTTTTAGTGGAAAGGTACTGGATTTGAAAATACAGTACTTGGGTTATAGTTTTGGCTCTATTACATAGTACTTGTGTGACTTTGGTCAATCACTTAACTTCTATGGGACTAAGTTTCCTCAGCTGTAAAATGAATGGATGACTTCCAGGATATGATGTCAATTAATCAATCTTCTGCTCAAGAATTTTCAGTGGCTCCCTATTGTTTCTAGGATATATGAGTGTGTGTGTGTGTGTGTGTGTGTGTGTGTGTGTGTATGTATGTATTCCTCCTTCACAACTTGGCCATAGCCTACCTTTTTAGATTTATTTCACATTACCACCCTTCAAGCACTCTATGTTCCAGCCAAACAGGCCTACCTGCTGTTTCCAGAACTTGGCATTTCATCCCCTGCCATCTTTGCATGACTTGAACCCAATGCCTGGAATTTCCTCCCTCTTTATCTCTACTTCTTCCAAACTTGAGCTTCCTCTAAGGTCCAGCTCAGGTGCCACCTCTTACTGGAAGTCTTTGTTGATCTTCCTAGTTGCTAGAGTTTCATTCCTTTCCTCAGTTACAGTCTATTATGTTATATCCTATTGTGACAGAATGTGAGCTTCTTGTGGGCAGAGACCACTTTTCTTTTTCATTGTATACAAAGGTCTTGGCAAAATGCTTTAAAAATAATGGTTGATTAATAAGTTCTTATTAGATTGAACCGAATCATAGGATTTAGAGACAGAGGAAACCCCTGGAATCCTTCGGCTGAGAGGTGTCGAATACGTAGCCTGTAGTGGCACTGAGGCCCTCAACACTCCCTGAGTGAAGCTCAAACCTGATTAAAATGTAATGGGGAACTAGTTAACAAAATAAAATAATAAACTAGAACAAAGGTAATGTTAATATAAGGTTTTCTAAGTCAATATGTGGCCAGCTGTCATTATGTATGGTTTCATGGCCCCCTGTAGTCTGACCTCCTCATTACACAGATAAGGAAACTGAGGTCTACAAGGGTACAGTGACTTTCCCAAAATAACTTGTGGTAACAGAGGCAGCATTTGAATTCAAGTTCTGATTCTAAATGTACTATGCTACATAAAACAAGACTCCAATACGTAGAAGAGAAGAAAATTTTAGACCTGGCCCTGAAGATTGTCTTCTCCACAACTCCTGATTTTATACATGAGGAAACTAGGGGTCCAAAAGCTTAAATGACTGATCAAGTCACACAACTCATTAATGGCAGAATTTCCTGATTCTTATGTCAGTACTATTTCTACTATCCTATACACACACACACACACACACACACACGCACGTGCATGCGCATGCGCGTGTGTGTGTGTGGGTGGGTGTGGGTGTGTGGGTGGGTGTGTATTTTTGCCAGGACAATATACTTTTATTTTTGTACTCAGGTTGAATAGCAGGGAATAGAAGATGTGGTGGAGGGGAAAGAAGCATCTAGGATTGAGCTTAGAAGCCTGACTAGGAGACCTAGTAGTCTACAGGTTACAGAAGAGGGAGGACACATGTTTGGAAACAAGGAAGCAGAGGGAACGTACTCTGAGACAGTTTTGGAACTGGGATGTCCTTGTAAATGTTTAACAACTGATTCTGTGGGTAAGGAGGGATGTATCTAGGAAACACTTTTAAGTTTAATCTTCATTATTAACACTTTCTTAAGTCTAGACAATCAAGAAACAATAAATCAAGCCCTGATTTGTAGCATTTGCCAATTTCCAAAGGGGTAAATGCCTACACTGAAAATTTAACAAGCAGCTGGTATCAGCCAGCTCTAGCATACCAGAAATGAAACCTTCTAAATTGTCCACCATGTTAGGTAAAAGTCCTGATGACCCTGTCCTAGTTATGGGCTCTGGTGCTTACTTACAGCAATCCAGCACCTAACATTTTCTGGAGCCTAGACTAGATGTGTTATACAGGTTGCTCCTAAAAGTCTCAGTGAAGTTTTAAGCAACAAAGCTTAGAAATAGCATATAATAACACCTTGAATTTATGCACTGCTTTTAATTTGAGTTTTTTCACATCTTTTAACTGATATTATTCTCATGATAACCCAGTGGTTAAGAGTTTTGATTTTGAAGGGCTTCTTTGTGAGTGGAGTTTAACAAAGCTATAATTAAGAAGATCCAGGGCCTTAAAAAATACTCTTGAAAGTAGAGTTGTCATGGGTAAGTCATAGGTGTAATAATCTATTCAGATATATTTAAGTTAGTGGCTGCTTCAAAGTTCCTACAGTCTGGGTTACATCTGGAAAATGTTGTTCAGTTCTGCAGATAAGAAAAAACACAGAAAAGTCCAGGGTGTCCAGAGAAAGCCACCCGGGATGCTTAAAAGACTGGAGAAGCCAACCAAGCCACTTGAAGAGAGCTGAAGAAATTGGGGACATTACAGCCTGGAGAACTGTTGTTTTTGGGATAAAGTGACATAGCTCCTTTGGAGTTTCTGAAGGGGCGTCACAATGGGAAGGTATTAAACTTGTCTGGCCTGGACCTAAAAGGAAAAATCTACAAAGGTGAATTTAGGCTTGATGTTAGGAAAAAATTCCCATCAGAGCTTTCCAAAAGTAGAATGGAAAATTTCAGGAGGTAGTGTGTTCCCTTTCACCAGAGGGCTTCAAGTAGAAACCAAATGATAACTTAGCAAGGATGCACAGAAAGGATTCTTAGACTGGTATAGTTTGAACTAGACAGCCTCTTAAGTTCTTTGTAGCTTGGAGATTCTGTGATTCAGTGATAAGGTCCTGTGTTTGGATCTGTAAAATCTCTGTCTCTCTGATATCTTGAAATAATCTGTCAATGACAATATATGTGTATGTATATATATTAATATACATACATATGGAGAGAGAATATATATATATATATACACAGACATATATACATATAATTAGTTAGTGCTATAGTCAATCCTCAACTTTGATGGAGGCAATGTTCCTAGAAAATGGTATTAAGTCAAAAATGCAAATATTGATATACTGAACCTATGGGAAACAGGAAGTTAGGTTCCAACAACCACCAAAAATGTAAAATTTCACCAGAGATTGCTGAAAATACGTTTTTCTGCATGTAACTCTTTATAACAAAATATTTAATTCTGTCAATATGCAAAGTAACCATGAAATAACTCATAAGATGAAGCACACAAAATAAAATTGGTAACATACGGAACATTTTTTTTCTCCCTAGCATCCCTAGAATTCTGTGACCTTTTATGCTGACAACTCAATAAAAAAAAAATTGATACTTACTTTTCATAACAAATTAAATCTATAGCACCATAAATACTATACAGCATTAACCTGAATCTTACTTTCCACTGAGTCAGACGGTGGGGTGAGGATGTTGTATTTTATACTATACTGCTATAAACCTCTCTCGTGTAGTTGCCCACTGAAAACCAATAAGGTTGCTGGGGCTTAAGTAGCTGCTGGCATGAGATGCTAAGACTGGCAAAGTGTCAGCCTCACCTCTAACACTGTCTTTCATGGCTGGTGGACGGCATTAGAGATCACGAAGGACTTACTAGCTTAAAATAATCTGTCAGTGACATCTACTTCCTGCCATTTGAGATCCTTAAGGGTGTCTAGGCCACAGTGGCTGCAGACATTCTGGTAAAAAGTTTATCTCACACCTTTATTTTCTCACTAAGCCACATCGCTGACCTTGAGCTTAGAGACAAAAGGATCTGTACTACACTTTGAGGGTATAATTACAACACAAAACTTGAGTTTTAAAGACAAACAATGAAAATACGCAACAAATGCATGGGGAGCTCTTTACAATGGCGGGGTGAACAAGACCTGTGAAGGGCCTAGTAGGATACCAGTCACTTCACAAACTTGTGTGCAATTGCCAACACAAAAATGAAAACGAGGTTACTAATAAAATCATATGAATGTTTGAAGTCATAAAAGTTAAAAATGTGAATGTTGAGGATTGACTGTATGTATGTGTGTGTGTTTCAGTATATATTAGCATGTATTACATATATAGCATATATTATACATAGTATATTATATATTTTATACATATATTATGATGTATACTATGTATTATTTGTAGTATATAGTATGTATATATATATTCCAGTATGTTACACAAAAATGTTACATATGTATACCTATATAATGAATACATGTATATATTATAGACATATACTGAGCAATATGTACATATATGTGTAGAAGAATATACCACATATGTATTCATACTGAACATGTGTACGTGTATATACGTGTATATATGTGCATCTATGTATATATTAAACAGGACTAGTCCTTCGCCAAACTGGAGGTAGGCCATTTTTATCTTTGATATTCTCACGTGTTTTTTCCTTGCTTTCTCTCTTTATCCTCCCAAAACCTGCACAGACCCTCTGGCCCAGTGCACTAATGTCCCCACTGGTATCCTACTTAAAGCCTGTCCTATGCTCCAAAAGCATTCTCTTGTGTTTTGGGGGCAAAACTTTTTCACTCAAGCATTGTGATCCCAGCTAATTGCCATTGTTCCTCTTCATCTGATAAACACATTTACACTAAGGTAATTATAACTTACAACAACTGAATTTGCTACTCCTGCCCCAACCATCAGTATATTTGAATGGTAACTTAGGGAGGCAATGTTTTAGCAGAAAAGAATGAATCTCCAAATAGTAGAATACGCCACACCATGGCAGGCAGGCAAGTCCTGTTTTGAGGTAGGAAGGACAGGACATCCTCAAATTTCACTATCGAGGCAACAATTAAGCCATGAGTGCAGGAAACACCCCCACCTGCCCTCTTTCAATAAATAACCATTCAATAACCCAACATGTTTCATTTAGAAGTACTTACAGGTCACCATGGATGAGGCCATAGATCTGGAATATGCTCTGGTGATAGATTCCTCGCAGAACAATTAAGAGTAAAATCACCACAAAAGCTGGAAGCCCCCAACTCAGAATGAAAAACAGGAGATAGCGTCGCTCTGTGTGCTCATCGTTCATGACAAGGACATACCAGAAGTTCACGGACTAGAGAGGGAAATAGACAACACATTGGCTTTTGTATTGACAAGGGAGCACACCCCCGCCAGGCTTCACTGTAAATAGCAGCCTGTTAGAGAAATAGGGTACAGTATGTGTATTAAATTCTATTTTAACATGCATTTCATGGATCTTTGATTAATTGGATTACATTTTGTAAAACTTCATCCATCTACTTTGTATTTTGCTAGGGTAAGTGGTTGAAACAAAAATATAAAAAGATAAGGTCAGAAAAAAAAGAGGTTCAGAAAGGGACACAAACACAGTGATTTTGTTACGACTGTTTTAGTCATATGTAATCCTCTTTGTTCTGTCCTTTGAATACTGAAATTTTCATGTTGGTTGATTACTTAAGTTCATAATAACAAAGAAAATTTAAATTAAAAAAAAGACACAGTATCCATCTTTTTTTTTTCCTAAAAATGCCCTGTCTTCCATGGTCTCACTTTTATACCTCTCTAATATTCTAAGGGCTTTAAGAGACTTTCAGCATATGCAAGGAAAGCCCAGAGTCAGAGGCACAAGGAAGACACCACATCACCCTTCGCTTTGTGACTCCCCCATGGGCTTATCATGTATTGTTGTATAGTGTTCAAAATAGCTAACCAGGTAGTATAATATTAATGTAAGTTCCATAAAATCAGAAGCCTTTGCCTTCCACAATTCTTTGTATACATTAAATACCTAAGAAGTACTCCTTATTGTTATTCTAAGAACTAAATTGTGCAAGAGTACAGTCAGATGTCATAAAATATTTTAGGTTTGCTGAATCGTTATTCTTGACCTCCTCCAAAGTACCAGCTGAAGTGAATTAAATTGGGTTGAACTGAATCAAGAAAGAGTTCCCTCTCATCACCATTCCCTAAGGCTTCATATTACTTTCTGGTGATTCCTTCTTCCTTTTAATGTCCATTTTAGCCTAATTTTACCTATATAAAAATGTAAGTTTTTAAAATTTTTATATAGGTGTTTCAGTAGGCCTTGCCTTTTCAATACGTCTTCCCCAAGGTATAAATAGTTGGAACAGGGTAGAAACTTGGTAGACAACTGGGCATAACCTGCCAGAGTGAAGTATTATAGAGGGCTCAGATATTTCTTTACTTTTTCTACTCACTTTGGGGGATGGGGAAGGAAGAAGTTAAGGGAAAGATAAATTATGATTTGCCTTGGCTCTGCCAGTAGTCAGCAAAGTAGCAGCCTGGGCCAAATCCCACCTGCTGCCTGCTTGTATGGGTCCCACAAAGCTTGTATTTTACATTTTAAAATAAAGTTTTATTGTATTTAAAAATACAAAAACCATTCTCAGTTTGAGGGCTGTACAAAAGCAGGCAGCAGGCCAGATTTGGCCCTCAGGACTGCAGTTTGCTGGCCCTTGTTCTATAATCTCTCCTAATCAGTTAAGAACATCCCCAATTGATATAACACTTCAAATTTTACAAAGTACTTTTTTTCATAGCATCTTCCTAAGGTAAATAGTACCAGTATTATCTCCGCTTAACACAGGGCAAAACTGAAGTTTGGGTTGTTCATCACTTAGCTAGTAAGAATCAGTATCAGGATGTCTGCTAGATATACGAAAAAAAGAAGTTGGTTAAACTAACCTAATCCATGCTAACATGGAAATGACTATCTCTTCCTGTCCTTCACCCAAATATCCCTTGGGTCTCTTTATTATTCACTGAAATGATCAGACAGTAGCAGTTTGGAGACCCTGTTAGGTAGTTGGATTCTTTAAATTCCAACCCTCATCCTCCTGCTGCTATGGGTAATATTGGCTAGAGTTAAGTTCTCCACAATGCTTCATCCTGGCTAGTTATGCCCTATCCTCAGCCAAATTGATCCTGTAGCCTAAGTTTCTGCTCTGTCCTACCTCTTCACACCTTGTGGAAGACATCTTGAAAAAGTCACAGGCCTACTGACACACTTAGTTCTAGTTAACTAACCTGTTAACTGAATTGAACCGAATAAGCATTTATTATATGTCTACTTATATTATGAGCCTTTTGTTAGGTGCTGGGGATACAGAAACCAAATTTTAAAAATTTCTTGCCCTGAAGGAGTTCCCCTTCAAGGGGAGAACGGGTAAGTAAGTACCAAAGTACAGTGGAATGAGTACTGACTTTGGAGTCAGAGTACCTGGGTTCAAATCCCACTTAGGATGCTTGCTATCCATGTGATCTTGGGCAAGCAGCTTAATCTCCATAAGCTTCAGCTTCTCCATTTGCAAAATGAGCAGGGTTGGGCTTAGATGACCTCTAAGGTCTCTCTAGGTCTAGAAGCTATGATCCTGTGACAGAAGAACCACAGTGCTGGAGATCAGAAAAGATCCCGGGAGAGTGGTACTTGAACTGAGCCAGGGAATCCAAGAGGAAGAAGTGAGGAGGGAAAGCACATCAGGAAGGGGATAAGTTGTGGAAGAACAGGATAATTAGAGAAGAATGACACGGATGGGGCAGGGCAAAGCAAAGAGGCTTTTTAACATTAACTGAGGAGAGATATGAACTCAACCCAGGTTAGTAGCAGATTGTGAATATATACCAATCAATAAGGACAAAAATGAAACAGTTTCTGTCTTCAAGGAGATTACATTCCAAAGAAGGAGACATATGTATAAGGATATGGACAATATATGTGCAACGAAAACAAGATAGCTTTGGGAGGGAGGGCACCAACTATCTAAATTCAGAACTTTTCCCACTGAATGCCTCAATTTTCTCATTTTTACAGATGAGGTAATTAAGGCCCAGAGAAGTAAAATAATTTGCTCAAAGTAATACAGCTAGTTAGTAGCAAGTTTGGATTAGAAACCAGGTCCCATGACTCCAAATACAGTGTTCTTTCAACACACTGTAATGTCTCTAAGGAAAGTGTGTTACAGATATCTTAGAGCTTTGAAAATAACTTTATCATCATATTTTATTATATAATGTTATTATGATTATTTTAATAAAACCCATATTCCTCTAGTACCTTCCATACAGCAAGCCCCTGATGTAGGTAGATTTATGTTGAGGTGTTTTTTTTTAAACCTACACCTGTACCTTTATTGGATTAGGAGGCTCCTGGTAGGGAATTTCCTACCAGTGAAGAAGATCATCACTTCTACAACTTGTAGTTTTAAAGAACTTCCTGGAGACACAGAGGTAAAGTGATTTAATGAAGGCCACTATGTCTCAGAGGGAAGACTTGAACTCAGCTCTTTCTGACTCTGAGGCTAGGTCTACCTATCATGCTACCAGTATTATCATTCCCACTTTATATAACAGAAAGTGGAATCTCAGAGAGAATAAATTACTTCCCCACAGGCATGCAGATAAGCTTCATTGCCAGGCTCAGAACTGCAGTCTCCTGTTTCTCAGCACTGTGCTCTATTTCTCACATCATGCTGCCTCATTCCACTGTCTGTTCACATCTTGCCTACAGGCATCACTTAAATATGACTGAGTTTCATTACGAAACAAAACATCAGTGGCATTGACTTGTTTTCACTGAAATTTTCATCTTTCATTAAGTTAGCAAACTCATCAAAATTGCCCTCTGATTATGCCCATGGCATTCACATTTTGTGCCTCAGTCTCTTCAATTGCCTAAACTGCGAGAAATCAAGTCTCCTGGCATGAAGGCCAGCTGGTGCTGAAGCCCAGCAATCGGAGAAGGATGGCTAAAATCAGCCTGCTCCCTAACCTTCTTCACTGATTTAATTCAGGAACAAGAAAGGTTTTAAGAGCAACAGGCTAGTAATTATCCTGATAAAAAAGACACACACACAAGAAATACTGGACTCTTAAAGCCTCAAAAAACTTTGAAAAGGTCAACAAATACCCTATGCAAAAAAACTGTGACAAAAGAGGTACTTCCCTGAAAGGACAGAAAACAAGAGCAAGGCCACGCAGCAATACCCCTGAGCCTCAACTGAGCTGGATGACGAAGGTCAGACCCAGTCACTAACACAATTTTTGGCATCAGTCCTCTCTAAACTTGGTGATGTAAATAAGTTCTAGAGTTCCAGTGACATCATTTATAATCAACTCTTAAAGCACGACCTGCAGATGACCACTGTCCCACACAACCTAAAGGTTTCCAGAGCCAAAATAAGCATTCGTGACTTCTTGAAAAGATTTGCCCCCCACAGATTAACAAATATAACAATGTGCTTAAGAGTGAACGTGGGCATGTGTGTATGTGTGTGTACTAGTGAAAACTGATTTAACAGGAAACATGCTTGTGGTAATGTTTATGGACTTCATGAGGCCATTTAAATGAATATATGATGGTATGGATTTTCCTATAAGAATATGTGGATAATAGTAATCAAAACAAATGTTATAAAGAGCATATATCAACATGCCTTTTGGAGAATAAGTAAATATATTTACACATGAGAATAATGGTGTACACTTGTCCACGCTTGAATTAATTTGTATCTCTCGGGTTTTTCCTGTTTATCAAGTCCTCATATAATTGTATCTATAATTTGTTAGGTTCCCCCTTTAGTAGGGGGTTTACACACAGGAAATTAAATAAAATTACAAATGGAGATTAAAATCTGTACCCTTTTGGAAGAACCCTCAAAACAAATTTTGAATTTTGTTATATTTATTCTTCAAGTATAACAGAAGCATCCTATGAATGATCTTGCTTACAGTCATCCATAATTTTCAAAGAGAATTTCCCTTAAATAAGTGCTATTTTGGGGTGAACATTTCTCCACAGAACAAATAACATACTCATGCTCATCTTGCTATTCCACTTCTCTGTTGCTTATTGACTCCTTCATTCCGGCTCTTACGCTCAGCTGGAGGGGACAGTGGGACATCCGCACGGAACTCTAAACACTTGCCGACCCTTATTTACTCTGTCGCCACAACATCTCTTGTGTCCATCCCCTTCTATCTAATCACACAAAGCCATCACCTCGTTCTGGCTCTTATCACCTAGTCTACACTCTGCAAGAGCCTATTAATTGGTATCCCTGCCTGTTTTTTCCC